GAAGCTTGTAAGTTTCCATTTCATGCAATTGTTAGTATGAAATGTCATTTTGTAGCCTTATATGTCAAAACTTGTATTTGTTGTCTAAACTATGTAATGTGTACTTAAATGCACCTTTTGACACTCTTTGGATATATATGTAATGAGGCTAAGGGCCAAAGACACTTATATGATACGTATGCTAGTTTAACTTCATAGTTTGTTTATGGAATATATGAAATTTCAAGGATTGAACACAATTTGTAAATGACATACCATGAGGCCTTAAAGCCATCCTTTGCTTAATCTTTTTGTTGATTAAAATCACTCTTAAGTAGGTTGCACACCCTTAGAAATGATTAATTAGGTTCATCCATGTTTTCCCTTAATTAGTTTTCACATTTTGGGGTTCTAGCATCCATTTTGGTGTACAACTGGCGGGCCCCGGCGGATTTACGAGGCTACTGCTGCATTTGGCGGGCCCCCGCAGCATTTGGGCGGGCGCCTGCGGGGGATTTGTTCCTGCTCTAGTCATCTTCCTTCAAAGGGCCATATCTCACTCATTTCAACTCCGAATTGGTCCGTTCTTGAGTCTAAACGGACCGCGTCGAAATAAGCTTTCCAATGGTACCAATTAGAGATTCAGATTCCATTTGTAGCTTAAGTTATTTAAGTTTTAGTGAGGTAGTGTTAGGATTTAGTTTGAACCCGAAGGGGGTTTTCTTTCCTTGACTTGAAGACTTGATATCTTCTTCGTTCGGACTTCAAATCAAGTCATTCTTGAGTCCATCTTTGTTAATTTTTCGTTGTCTTTCCAATGGTATGCTTGGTAGTGTCTATTTCTCTATGAAATTACTATTTTGCCCCTAGGTTCATTCTTGTCCGTTTTTGAGACTATCGTTCCGCATTTGCATTCTTTGGGTTTCGTGATCTCATTGAGGATCACATTGGTGTTTTTTTAAATATGTAGTATCTCTAGGGACCATTGTTACACCTTTTACTTCCGCATTCTAGACCCACTGTTGGATTTATGTTCAGTTTATTATAGGACGCACTGGCCTGAAAACCAGGGCCGTCACAATGTTTTTGGATGTTTTTGATCTCATTTGACTTATTGGAAGTCAAATTCCTCCCTCTTAGGGTAAAATGACCATTTTACCCTTGGTCCTTCTTTCGGTAGGGTTTTGATACCCTTGTCTCCGTTTTGTTTCCGTTGAGTCTCGAAACTCTTCGAAAGTCCATTCTTGTGTCCTAGGGATAACGTACATCTCTTTGGACTTGTTTTTATTTTGCTTCCGCATTCTGGATCCGCTTCGGGTCATCACAGGACATACTGGGTTGAAAAATCCAGGGTCGTCACAAAATAACTATAATCGACGCAAATATAGACATGTGGAATCCAAATCAATTGACAATTGACACAAAACCCTAAAAAAGACCACACAAATTCGAACCATCTTCAGAACTATAATATTTGACAATAGAATACAATTTTATCGAACTATGATACAGAGGAGTGAAAATAACACTACAATACTTGACTCAATCAAACAAATGCAGAGTGTAAAGACACGAAAATAGAAAACCCTAACTTTGATCATCATGAAATTGTACCTCACGAACGTTCTCCTTGCTTTTGATGGCACAACTTCGTCTTCGATCTCAAACCCTACCTGCCATTTGTAGGATCGTACAGAAAGAGCATGGAACCACATTTGTTGCTTCATGACTCAAAACGTCATCGTTTAGAGAAGTGTCTATTTAAGTAATTTCAACTTGTAGCCATATTTTATTATTATTGTAAAAAGAATATTGGGGGGCATTTTCGTATACTTACCTATCCCTCTTACAAAAAGCCTTATTTGCTCAACTTTTTTATATTAAAAGGGTGAGATTTGAATGAAAAAAGTGTTATTTGTACACTTTTAAATTACCATTTTTTTAATTTTGTTTTTGGCACTTAACCCAATTAAATCGAGATAAAAGAGGCGGCCTCATAGGCGATTCAACCCCAACCCTAAGGGCTCGTTTGGATTAAGGGATTTAGAGGGATTTGGAGAGAAAAGAAAGGGAAGGATAAGGATATGTGTGTTTGGATGGAGGGAAAACAAGAGAAAAGAAAGGATTGGGAAGGATTTCGAGGGATAGCCTATCCCTCCAAATCCCTCCAATACAGTAAAACCCAATCCCTCCAAAATTAACAAGATTTAGAGGGATTTGGAGAGAAAGGGAGAAAATTACACCAAGGGGCAAGAGAGTTGAGAGACAGCCGGATATGGGTTTTCATTATAGTTACAGAAAGAGAGAGAGGGAGGTTGAGAACGGGAAAAGTCGCCGGAAGTTGCAGGATTATGAAAAAAAAAAAACCCTATTTTAAAAATCAAAATTTCATAAATTCAAACACCAAATCAATCAAATTCATATAAAATTGACACTTGAAAACAGTGTTGAAGAGAATCAGAAAATATATATATACGAATGCAGGTGGTACCTGGTGTATCATGCTTTCAAAAAAAATACATAATTTCTGATTCTCTCGGTAACATCAACACTTCATAATTTCTTATTCTCTCGGCAACAGCATCATCATCCACAAAAAAAATACCTTCAAGCATGCATCAACATAGACCAAGCACGATTTAATAACTAATGTAGATTTTGATACTACGATTTTTGTAGATTTTGTAGATTGCAGTTGGAGAGAGAGATAGAGAGAGAAAAGTGAGAGATGAGGCGATTAGGGAGGCTGAAATGATTTTGCTGGGTTGTGATATTATGATTTTTGTAGATTTTGTAGATTACAGTTGGAGAGAGAGAGAGAAGCGTGAGATGAGGCGACTAGGGAAGGCTGAAATGATTTTGCCGACATGAGTTGATATTCTGATTTTTGTAAATTTTGTACATTGTAGTTGGAGAGAGAAAGCGAGAATAGAGAGATGAGAGGGCTGAAATGATTTTGCCTACCTAACCCTACCTAAAAAGGGTAAAATGGTAATTTTATTATTATCATTTCCCTTCTTTTCTCTCCTTTCTGTCATCCAAACAACAATATTGTCAATTCTTTTCTTTTCTCTCCAATTTATCCAACACACGAAGATAAATTATACCTATCCTTTCCTTTCCTTTCTTTTCTTTTCTTTTCTCTCATAATCCTTTCTTTTCTTTTCTCTTTTATGTATCCAAACAAAGCCTAAAATCTACTCTCTTTTTAAATTTTCGTTTTTTACTCTTATAAAACGGAGCAGAACAGATGGCCCACGTGAGCCTCTTAGGGCCTGTTTGGGGGATGCTCCATCTTGTTCTATGCCCTTCCCTACAGTGCAAATGGACACTATTGAGGACACCAACTTGTTTGGTATGGGCTGCATTGTGTCCAACAGTGCTAGAACAATTTCTGTTTTTGGACCAATTTCCAGAACAAAAAAATCATGTTCCAAAGTGTTCCTAAATTATGGTCGGCCCACTATTTACTGTAAAAAGGAGAACAACAGCCAAAAAACAAGGAATTCTGAGAACACAATTTAAAGAATCAGTGGAACATTTCTAGGGTTCTCTCTAGACGACTGAGGCGATTCACAGTGTACCCTTTTGTGTCTGAAGCTTTTCGAGATTTAGGGTTGAAATCGACACCATTAAATGAAATACGAAGCTTCTCGGCAACGTCTTCTTCTCACCGGTGAGTTCCAAACATGCATCTTCTTCATAAATGGAGTCATTGTGTTCTATCTAAATTTCTGTTTTGTATAATGAAGATCGGGCTTCTCGGTGTTCCACTGTGTATGCAGATCTGAAGATAAACTTCCCCTTTGTGACCTCTGCGTTTTCCGGCGAACCCAAGCTTCACCGCTGCTCTCTGCACTCTCGGATTCATGGGTGAACCCTCTGGATATTGAGCTTTGATTCTTGTAGTGATCTATATATATCTGTATTGTAGTGAGTCGTAACTGTATTGTAGTGATCTGGAAATTTATTTATTTATTGGATATTTTTCTGAAACACCTTTTGGATATGTATCTGTATCTATGTATATTATATACATATCTTAAAGTTGGAACATAATTGATTTTCAATACCCATTACCAAAATGAATTAAAAGCTAGCCAAATTAGTTGAAATTTTTAACAGTGTTATATAAGTTTGTTTATGTATTCATTTTATTATTATGTCTGTTTATAGAAATGTAGAGGGAATTAAAAAAAAGAAAAGAAAAAAGTAGTGAAGAAAGGAAATAGTTTTTAACTTCTGTTTGGTAAATTGGTAGAGAATATGGATAACAATGAGAAAAGCAAGAAAAACTTTTTAATTTTACATATTAGTTTATCTTTATTTTTTTGGAAATCTTCAAGAAGAGTAGGATGAGTAAGATAATTAACTACATGATTTATTTTATTTTTACATATTTTAAAAAGATTTTTACTACTGATTATAATTAATAAGTTTTACAATTTATAATTTAAACTGTCAAGAAAAGTTATACAGTATTAATAAGTTTATTATGCAGCATTAATAAGTTTTACAATTTATAATTTATTTTATTAGTTTTTATAATAAACTAAGATAAATTTATAACTATATATATATATATATATAAAGTTATATCAATTGTATATTAAAATTATACAATAATTAATTTTAACTTTATACTTAATAAAGTTAGAAAAAATGTATTCAAGAAAACTTTATTTTAAAACATTCTTAATCCAACATATTTATTTTTTTTTTTTTTCATTTTGGTTACACTTTCAGTTTTCCAAACATGTTTTCCAAACATGTTTTGTTCTCATATTTCTCATAACAATATACATTACCAAACATGTTCTATCATGTTTTTGTTCCAAAATTCTGTGAGTAAATTTGGAACACCAAATATATTTTGTTCTCATTTTAAAACATCACACTACCAAACACTGTTCTGTTCTAGATTAGAACATACATTACATCACACTATACTTCCCAAACGGGCCTTGGTGTGGGAACTAGAAGAAGAGGTAAAACAAAAGCCCAAAAGGGCAAAAGCGAGAGCCGGTTTTCAGATATAATACACATTTCGCTTAGAACACGCTGGAAACAACGGTAAGGTAACATCACCACCACGAACCCTAGTTTTTGACTTTTAAATGTTTTGATGTTTTTACTTTGGTTTTGTTGCTTCAGATCTGGTTTCTGAGGGCTGAAATTCGTCACTTTCTTTTCTTTTGATTTTTGTGTTGTGCTTTTAGTGAAAGATGGTGTTTTTGATGTGTGGTGGTTTTGGGTTGTGATTGATTTTTAGATGGATCGGTATCAGAGGGTAGAGAAACCGAGGACAGAGACGCCCATTAACGAGAATGAGATTCGTATAACCACTCAGGGGAGAATGAGGAACTACATTACTTATGCTACAACTCTGCTTCAGGTTTCTTTCTCCTTCATATATTTCTTTCTCCCCCTCTCTATATACACACACTAACACACATTTATAATAAATTTTCTTTTTCTTTTTTATTATGAATAAAAAATACGTTTGTTCATTATGCTCTATCATACATATCTTCACAATATCTATAAATTTTTCAAAAATATGCTCATTTCTGGGTGGTGATTAACAAGTTGCAAAGGAACTTTCTGTGGGGTGGATTCAAGTTCCTTCTGGTTAGATGGGAGAAGTTGTGTAGCCTTATTCAGTTAGGGGGTTGGCAGTTTTTGTTTTTGATAAGTAAAGATTGGATAAAAGAAGCCTTCAAAAGAGGAATGCATCCCTCAGAAGATACACAAGGCCTAATAGGGCCTCTAAACTCTCAAAAAGTATAAAAATCAACTATCTCCTCCATGGATTTACAATCTCTCTCTACAATCCATCAAAAAAGAGTGTTAATAATAAAGAACTTCAAATCCCACATAGAAGTCTCCGTTTCTTCGAAAGATCTCTTAGTTCTTTCAAGCCATAAACACCACCAGATGCAAAGAGGCGTAACCCTGCAAAAATCATGGACTTGGGCCCCAACTATACACCCTCGCCAAGCCTCAATGCATTGTTGGGCAAGTGTCCATGGAGGTATAGGGTTGAGAGGAATAGATTATGGAGGAGTGTTATTGCTTGCAAATTTGTGGAGGACTGAGGGGATAAGGGGTCTAGGAGGTAATATCCCTGGGAGGGGTGGGAGTTCAGAAATTCATTTAGAAGGGTTGGAATGAGTTTTCGAAACATATCATGTTCAAGTTGAGAAGTTGGAGACTAGTACAAATTTGGATTGACACTTGTTGTCATGATAGGCCTTTAGCATGCATCTTCCCGAGACTATCCAAGATGGCGTGGGATCCTTAGTTGTCTTGAAAGCGGAAGGATGACATGGGACATGTGCGACTTGGGAGACATCTTCAAGATTAGGAGTTGGAGAATATTGTAGGTTTGTTGGCTTTATTATATCACCAAAATGTGGATGGGGAGGGTGTGGATGAATGGATTTGGATGGGATCCTGTTAGGGTTGCTTCTAAGTAAGAATGTAAGATCTTACTAGTTTCTACTGGAGTGTCTTGGAGGATTGTGGACCTACCTTTCCTTGGAAGGCAATTTGGAGAACCAAACCTCCGTTGAAGGTAGTATTTTTTGGGTGGACGGCGGCTTTGGAAAGGATCCTGACAATTGATAATCCGAGGAGGAGGTTATAGATTATCGTGAATTTGTGTTGCATGTGCAAAAGGGAAGAGGAGTTGGGAATAATTTCCTATTGCACTGTCTAGTGGGGAACCAAGTTCGAGATGTGTGGAGAATAGCCCCTCTTTGCTTGTGGTGGGGGTTGTGTCGAGGAAGAAATAGAAATTGTTTGAAGGAAAGGAGACTCTTCTTTGGTCTCTTAATTTCTCTATCCTTTGTTTTTTGGACACATGGATGGACTTGTAAAGCTATAGAGGATATAGTGGATTTTGTGGATAGGATGAGATTATAGCGGTCCCTTTGGGACTTTTTGTGCATTTGTATATGGGATTCACTCCCCTCTTGAGTGCATTTCAATGAAACATTACTTAAAAAAAAAAAGGTAACTTATCATATGCTTTCCTTAATTATGTAAAATGGTATCGACTATTGAAGGACTCAAGTGTGTCCTTTCACATTTTTCAATTACTTAGAGAAATAGCCTTGGTTTACGGTTTTGTTGGCATGAAGCCAAACTAAATCTTTGATGCATCTAGCCCATTCCCTTTGTACAAGCTCAAGGATTTTCTGCATGATTTCATATGAACTGCAATGAATCTGCAAAACAGTTCGTACTTAATGTAGGAAAATCCATGGCAGTTACTATGCTCTTATGTATTTTTGTGACGGTGAATTATGTAATTTGAAGCTGCATTTCTATCTTTATTCCTTCTGTCCTAATACTTTCTCTTACTGTATCAGTTCCCATCGTCATGTATTTATGTGACAGCAATTTATGCAAGACTTTAATTAGTTTGTACTTTTGTGAATGTGAAGCTGCATTTTTATCATTCTACTTCGTCATGTATTATTTTCTCGCTGTTGAGTAGTTTGGACCCAAATTTTCATTGTTGAAAAACACAAAGAAGTTACATTAGAATGGGGCATGATTATTTCTTTTTTCCCCTTAACATTGCGTTTTGTATTTATACTTGATGACCTCTTTGAACTGGGCTCCTTTAATATCTATTACTGGAATCCTGGGCATTGATAGAACTGTCGGCTTTTACTCAGTTTTTCCAATTGGTTGTACACTCAATATCCTTATTGTCTTTTAACCTCTGTTATTATCATCATCATTTTTTTGATACTTATTTCACAATTTTTAGTATTTATAATTTAATACAACTAGGTTTTCATTTTTCACATGATAGAAAGCAGTAAACATAATATTCATTTGCAATTGTTTTTAATAATAATATGTATATATTTTTTTGTAGGAGAAAGGATCTAATGATATTGCTCTCAAGGCCATGGGGAGAGCTATCAACAAAACTGTTATGATCGCTGAACTGATCAAGGTGTTGTTGCTGATTAGTGTGGCTTTCATTCTTTTATTATAATTTTATTTTCTCTCTTTCTATCACCCTTTACCTTTGTTGGGTTTGGGCAATCAACTGAAATAATTTTCTGCATAATAATGTTTACCTGCACTTTTTGATCTGTGCTCATAGAGATGTTATATTTTGTATCAGAGAAGGATTGCTGGTCTCCATCAGAACACATTAATTGGTTCTACAGATTTCACTGATATGTGGGAACCACTAGAAGAAGGCCTTCTTCCGTAAGGATATAAGCTTCCTCTTGTGCCCACGAACTAGTTATGCGTGGTATGGTTTTGATAGTTGGCTGATATATTTTCTTACTAATGCAGCCTAGAAACTACTCGCCATGTGTCAGTTATAACAATTACTCTGTCCAACAAAGAGCTTGATACATCATCTGCAGGGTAAACTTGATCTAGTTGTTTCCGCAAAGTTGATTGCTTCTACTTATCCAAAAAAAAAAAAAATTTGTTGGTTGCTTTTTTTTTTTTTTTTTTTTTTTCAGTTGTGGATTAGTGACGTAATGTTGTGATTGCATAGCATTGGGATATGTTAACCTGAATTTGAACAAGTAGGTCTCAGTAGATATTGTGCTTCTTCATTCATCTCCAATTACTGAAACTCTATATGCAGAGTTAGCTTATCCATAAATACTCTCTTTATTTTAATCCATAAGTGGGGATGTTGATAGATGCTGATTTATCTATTTGTTTTCCTGTCTGGAATTGGTTTATGAGATCGGACATCCTTATAAAAAACGTAGTGGAAGATGCACAAATTTTGTTCCTTTGATTCTTTGGGATATTGCAATGGAATGCGGCAAAGACCATGTTTGACTTTTCTCTCTTCTCTCTCTACTTTTTTTGATGTCGGAGTCTTTCACTCCGGCGTCTGTCGTTTATGTGTATGCTCTTTGTTGCTGGATCTTTGGCTTTTCGGCAGGGAATTTTGTTATGCATCAATCCTTATCTCAGTGTTGTGACCCTAACTCGTCTCAACTTCCATGGAGATATCAAAAGCTGTTCAATAGGCGATGATTTGGTTTTCAGGGTTGATCATCAAAGTATCAAGAGTGTGAATCTGCTTTGCGATCATGTCTGGCAGGTCCCTTTGATAGAGATGTGGGGTGTATCGAAGGGATTGAGGCTTGGGCAACGAAAGCTTGGAAGGTTTCAAGCGGGGTGAAAGTTTCTTCCCTTCCCGACGATCTATTTTTGTGTAGGTTTCCTTCGGAGGTTGAGGCTTTAAGGGTTTTGGATGAAGGAAGAAAGAGATGGGGCGAAGCATTGTTATCTATTAACATCTGGTACTTCGCGGTTGGATGCTCTGCAGTGAAAGATCGTAATATACGAAGGGTGATGTTGTTTGGCTTGCCCCTTCATCTTTGGTGCCATAAGTTATTTGTTGCAATCGGAAATTTATGTGGTGGATTTAGAGGTGTTGAGGCGGACGTCTCAGCGAGTGGAGAGAGAATTCTTCTCTATGTTTCCGCCGGAAAATTGATGCTGGAGTATGTTTTTTTTTTTTTTTTTTTTTTTTGATAAGTAAAATGTATTAGAAAGCGTTCAAAAGGGGAATGCATCCCGAGATATACACAAAAAGAATCTATGAACTCAAAGAACCCAAAAAGTCCACAATGTCCTCTAAAGAAGAATAATCCCTCCCCCAACCCAAACAAAAAAGGGTACAAATAATAGAAAATTTCAGCTCTCCAATAGAGGACTCCTTCCCATCAAAAGATCTTCTGTTCCGCTCTTTCCAAAGATTCCATCAAACGCAAAGAGGGGTCACCCTCTAGAAGTCTCTAGCCTGAGCCCCCACCCATTGGCCCCTCCAGATATCTAGCAATCCTCGAGAAGTCTGAGGCATGACCCAATGGATGCCAAACAAACCAAGCGAAATACTCCAACATTCATAAGCAACAGGACAATGCAGCAGAAGGTGATCCACGGACTCTCCAACACACTTGCAAAGACAACACCGGTTAACAATGATATGTCTTCTCTTGCGTAAATTGTCCAAAGTCAGAATCTTACTCCAAGCTGCAGTCCACACAAAAAAGGCCACCCTAAGTGGCGCCTTAGAGAGCCACACCGTCTTCCACGGGAAGGGCAACCCATGAAACCCAGAGAGGCGCACAAAAAATGACCGGACTTGGAACATCCCATTAGAAGAAGGCACCCAAAACAAGGAATCCACACCAGTGCCATCCAGTTCCTGTCTATACAAAAGGGCCAACAAGCCAGTGACATCATCCAACTCCCAATCCTGAAAAGGTCGCCTGAATCGCACATCCTAAGACAACGTCCCGCTATCAAGACGATAGCTGTCAGCAACCATAGCATGTTTGTCAACAGCAATCCTAAACAATCTTGGAAACAACAGAGCCAAAGGCCTATCTTCGCACCAGGAATCCTCCCAAAACCTGACAAATCTTCCATCCCAAACTCTGAATCTAATGTGTTTGGAGAATTCATCCCACCCCTTCCCAATGGACCTCCACACCCCCACACCATAAGCAGCCCTAACAGGCCTAGTTGACCACCCCCCTCTCTTTTCCCCAAAACGACAAGAAATGACCTTTCTCCATAATCTATGTCTTTTACTGCCGAACTTCCAAAGCCACTTGCCTAGAAGAGCATTATTAAAAGGGGCCAGTCTTCTAATTCCGAGACCACCAAGCTGAAAAGGCTTGCAAACCTGATCCCATTTGACATGATGATATTTAAACTCTTCCCCACGACCCCCCCAAAGGAAATTCCGTTGGAGCATCTCCAGTTTTCCCACAATAGAGGCTGGAATCCTAAAAAGCGAGAGAAAGTATGTTGGAAGGCTTGACAAAACACTCTTCACTAACGTGACTTTTCCACCCTTGGAGAGATATTGCTTTTTCCAACCAGCCAATCTTCTCTCGACCCGCTCAATCACCGGGTCCCAACTTCCCACCCTCCTTGCCGAGTCCCCCAGCGGTAGACCCAAATAAGAAATAGGGAAGCGTTGCGTCCCACAGCCTAAAGCAGCAGCCAGAGAATCCACATCCTGCACCTCCCCCACAGGGACAAGCACACTTTTTCCCACATTGACTTTCAGACCAGAGACAGCCTGAAAACAAACCAAAACACATCTCAAATACTGCAACTGGGACACCTCAACCTCACAGAAAACAATAGTATCATCCGCAAAAAAGAAGGTGAGAAATCTCCATCTGCTGAACCGATTCAGGGCCGAGCTTGAAACCCCTAATAAACCCCAAATCCACAGCCCTTCTCATCAGCCTACTAAGGGCCTCCACAATAATAATAAACAAAAATGGGGAAAGAGGGTCCCCTTGCCTCAGACCTCGAGAACTACCAAAGAATCCCGTAGTAATCCATTTCCTCCATTTCGCACCAAAACCCATCCTCTTCAACAGATACAACAGGAAATTCCAACTGACATGATCGTAGGCTTTTTTGATATCCAGCTTACAAAGAACACCAGGAACACCACTACTAAGTCTAGAATCCACGCATTCACTGGCAATGAGAGCCGAGTCCAAAATCTGTCTACCCCCAATAAAGGCATTCTGAGACTCAGAAACAACTCCATCAAGCACCTCCCTCAGCCTAAGCGCAAGGACTTTTGCAATGATCTTATAGATACACCCAATCAGACTAATTGGTCTAAAGTCCTTGACTTTAGAAGCACCACCCTTCTTAGGAATAAGGGCAATAAAGGATGCGTTCCGTGATTTCTCAAATCTCCCCGTGGAATGAAACTCATGAAAAGTGCTCATAATCTCGAGCCTAACCACCTCCCAACTTTCCAGCAAAAATCTCATAGTAAAACCATCTGGGCCTGGAGCCTTATTGCCATTACAACTCTTGAGAGCCTTCAGCACCTCCTCCTCCGAAAAAGGAACCTCCAGCGCATCCTTTTCCAAAACAGAAATAGAGTCAAAATGAAGGTCATCAAGCCTTGGCCTCCATCGAAGAGGCTCAGAATAAAGCCTTTGGTAGAAAGAGACAATACCATTTTGCACCTCCTCCTCTGTAGACAGGACCGTACCATCCACACACAAACGCCCAATATGATTGCCCCTCCTATGAGCATTAGCAGTTCTATGAAAAAACTTGGTATTACGATCCCCATCTTTGAGCCATAAGGCTCGAGATTTCTGGCGCCACGAGATTTCCTCCAATAGAGCAATTTCCGCACATTCTGCCTGACAAGCTGCTCTCTTAGTGCGATGAGACTCAGAAAGAACACCCTCCCCTTCCATTCCATCGATCTCGGCAATATCAGTCAAAGCCCCATTCTTCCTCCACTCCAAATTCCCAAACTCCTCCTTATTCCACTTTTTGAGCTTATTCTTCAGGAGTCGAAGCTTGCTTGCAAGAATGAAATTGGACGTACCCACCACCGGGTTCTCCTCCCACTAAGAAAGCAAAGAAACCTGGAAATTATCCGCTCGAAGCCATATGTTCTCAAATCTAAAAGGAGTGCAACGAGATCTCAAACCTCCACAATCCAAAACCAAGGGGATATGGTCCAACGTAACCCTAGCCAGCACAGTTTGAACAACATCCGGGAACTTCTCCTCCCAGTCGCCGGAAATCAGAAATCTATCAAGCCGAGAAAAAGATGGCGGTTCCCTCCCGCTGGACCAAGTAAAAGAAGCTCCCTCAAGAGGGAGATCAATAAGCTGATGGCCATCAATAAAATCAGAAAAATGCATCATAGCTTGAGTCCACGATCCACCTGTAGATCTCTCTGCCAGTGACCTAACCACATTAAAATCACCAGCCACACACCAAGGAAGAGACCACCTCCCCTTCACCCCACTCAACTCCTCCCACAACCCATCCCTCACACCATCATCAACCGGCCCATACACCCCAGAAAAACCCCAAGAGAACCCATCCTCCTCCAAAACAAAAGCACAAGACAAAGAAAATCTCCCCCTGCAAACCTCCATCTTAGCCATCCATCGCCTATCCCACATAATGAGAATACCACCAGAAGCCCCAATAGAATCCAGCGCCTCCCACTCAACACAACGATTCCCCCACAAACTCCTAACCACTTTCTCCGTCATAGAGTCCATCTTTGTTTCTTGGAGGCACACCAAATGCACCCCCCATTTTCTAACTGCCATCTTCACCACCTTCCGCTTGCCCGGATCATTAAGACCACGGACATTCCAGGATAGAAATCGTAGCTTCATAAGGAAACAGACGCCCCCATCACCCCCTTACCACTTCCCCTCTCCTTCTCCCCTGCAGACTTTCTGTCATAGTTCACATCAAAACACAAGTTCCTTAACTCCCTTTCCCCTCTTCCTGGAGTAAGGTTCTTCTTCTTCCTGCTTCTCCTTCTAGAAAACTGAATCATCTCCCCCTCTCTCCCCCTCAACAGTAGCTTG